AACCTTCCCTTTCACAAAAAAACTTTGGGCGGGGTTTCAAGGGAAAAAAAAAAACTTTTTTTCCCCCATTCCCCTTTCTACTTTGGGAAAAAGGTGGGGGACCAGGTCCATTCGTTCTCCTTGCCTTGGAACCAGGCCCAGAGATTTCGGAGGTGGCTGGATCCTCGATTTCCCCCAGGCCGCCTTCACACTCGCGTTTGGGGACACCGATCCCACGTTTGGAGCTTGCTGAAAGGTCGCAGACCGATGAAGCATCAGAACCACCATCATCTGCAAAAAGCAGTGGCTGCAATCTTAAGTCACCGAACTGCCGACCCTCCCCCAACAACTACGCCCTCAAATCCGCATCCATGATATCTTACAAACAGGATTGGTGACAAGCCGCGAGCCCTGGCGGAGGCCCAACCCTCACCCGGGAAATGGGTCCGCTTACTGCCGCAGGACCCGGACACAGCTCTCGCGCCTTTGGGAGTACAGAGATTGCGATGGCCCTGAGCTAGCAGCCCCCTCACCCCATTACTTCCCGCCAGCCACCTCCCACAGTAACTCCCTGGAAACCCGGGTTCATACGCTTCTCCCAAGTCTACAAAACACATGTAGACTGGCATAAGCATACTCCAGCGCCCCCTCCAGGTCCTTGCGAGGAGTGAAAAGCTGATCCGCTCGTTCCACGGACCAGGACGGAATCGCATTTGTTCCTCCTCATCTGAGCGTTCGACAATCGGCCTGACCTCCTTTCGGTACCTTAGGTCAACTTTCCCGGGAGACTGAGTAGGTGTGATGGCCCTCTGTAATTGGGCACACCCCTCTGATCCCCCTTTTAAAAGGGCGACACCACCCGGTCTGCCACTCCTTCGGCACTGTTTCCGACTTCCACGCCAAGCTTGATGAGACGCTGTCAACCATACAGTCTCTCAACACCCAGAGCCTTTTCAGCATTTCTGGGCGGATCTAACCACACCGGGGCTTTGCCACTGTGAAGTGTTTGACGACCTCAGTGACCTCCCCCCGGGGAGATGGGAGCAAAGCGTTTACTGTTTATAAGATATTTTTCATTTGTCGTTCAAGATTTTCAAAGCTGTACCCCTTAAATGCCAGTGGTTTAACGGAATGCTGTATCTCTTTAAAGCATTTCTTTTTCCTATATAATAAAAGAAACATCTTACGCTTTGTCTTTCTTCCTCCGTTAGGCCTCTAATTGTGCCGGCTTTCGACATCATCCTGAGGAGAACATGGAGGTGCGCCGGTTCCGAACCGTTTACCCTGCGGCCTCAGCGCTCTGACCCCCAACCATACACACTTTTTCTCTATCTTCTTATGGCAGGGCTTCTCGAACTCCCGGACCAAGGTCCGGATCCGGAAACGAACCCTGCTGCCATTATTTAAAAAAAATAATAATAATTTAGAAAAAAAAATGAATAATCTGTATCTGATGGAAAATTAAATTGGACCTATTATGCTATATGCGAAAAATATATTGGTAGGCGCCCATACCGTTATACAAAACATGTCTGTAAAGTTTTGTGCTCATAATACCAAACAGATCACCCATTGTTAGCCATGGCTCATGACTGCCTCCATCATACCCCTCGTTTTGTAGCCCTGTTAGAGAAAGCGTGGATTTTGGCGCTCCTTAGGTTTTGAAAAAAAAAAAAAGGAGCGAAGCGGAGCTAAAGCCAGATCAGAATGTCTACCACAGCATGTGACAGATAAAGTTGTAATTCTGCTGTGATAAAACGCCATCCTGTTTCTAATCACATGTTAAAGATTATTTCTGAAACAGTATCTCAAATGCTTTTTCTCTTGCGGGTTTCTATTCACAAGGTGAGTTCCTTTTTCAACTTCCTGCTTTTTAAACACCATGTGCCTCCTCCCAGTAAGGGTTAGCCCTGAGAGTGTTAGCGAGGCTTAGCTAATGTAACAAAGACGAGATTACGTCCAAAACCACACGATCAGTGTACAGCCATTGTTTCTGATAGCCCAACTCTCTGTGGCGTCCGCCCCGGGGCCGATTTGGACGTCAGATCCGGCCCAGAATCTGTATCCGCTCGTTGGTAACCCTGTTTTTAAGGATTTGGGTACGGAAGGAAAGAGAGAGGGTTTTATTTTCTGGACGCTACGTGAGTTCCCGACGCACCGGGGGACACATATTTATGTATATAAAGACATCACAAAGTGCACTTGTCTGACGCGTGTGAACATGAACGTGCCATGAATATATTTACTTTGTGTGCGCGAGCGTGAACACGCCATTGCAGGACCGCCAAGTTAACCCGCCCAGTTTACCTTGACTTTCTAATGCCCATTTTTGCCGAGGTTCAGGCATGTGCCTATGACACGAACAGTGCCATTTTCTCCCCACTAGCTTCAAGCCATCATAACTGTATGTATGTTATTGAATGTGTGTGTGGGATACAGGGGCGCCGTTTACGACAGGCAAGTGCTTGGACCAGAAGGGGCCCCCCAAATAAAGTAGATTAATCCATCCAACTTTATTCATATAGCACTTTTAAACCTCCAGACCCAAAGTGCTGTACAGATGAGATACATACAAATATAACCACACAGCACACCAGCCTCAGCTCACAAAACCATCAATAAATTAAATACATTTAAAATCAAAGAATACAAACACAAAACAAAACCAGAATAAACGTAACAATTTCAAATGCGTAATTTTCTTAAAGAAAAAAAAGACATAAAAAAAGATTAAGAAGGTCCACAGCAACGACAACATGAAACACCCTTTAATTTACTGCAACTATATGTCGGGAAACTCCCTCAAGGGGGCCCCAGGTATTGCGCGCCAAAACTGCTTCTTAATTTCAGTTTCGTTGCTCCGCTCCGGGGGTGGGGGGGGGACTTTACTGGCATTGATCCGGACCATTGACCTTGTATAAGATTCACAAGTGGACCTTTAACAAAATAGTTTGAGTACCCCTGTTCTATGGAAACACATTTAACTCACCCCCAGACGTCCTCCTGGGGCTACAGGGTCTCCGGGCCCCAGGAGGACCTCCAGGGGTCCCACTGGAGGAGCTGCCGCCTCCTTACTGGATAATGAGGAGCCGACGAACACTCATGAAGCCTGCCTGTCTCTGCTGTCGGTTTTTTGGAAAGCTGATATAAGTATTAATCTCGGAGGTTAGGAAACACACACGTTTTTTGGATTATCAGAAACACTTATTTTTCCTTTACTGGTTAAGAAAATGTAAAAGCTAAGTTAAATAAACTGGTGATATTGTATTTGGAGCTATGAGGTTAATCTATGTCAACAACTGTATTTGTTTACGTGAAAATTACACAATAGGAATTGCTGTAGGAATTTGTCTCACAAAAATGATTTATAAAAAGATGTATTCTACACTTTTGCTCAGTTTCAGTGCCTTCTAACCAAAGTTCTCAACCTAAAAGAATCAATCAATGCAAAAAATGTGCTGCTGCTTTAACAGTGACGCTGCTATGTTTGTCCACAGCTAAATGTAGTTTTGTATTAATGTGTGAAGTTGTAAACTGTGAGGTTTATTATCTAAAAAGGTAGCTAAGACGTGTTGTGAATTAAGGGGACTTTAAGCTGTTCAAATTGTGACTCAAGTGTCAGTAAATGTTTCAGCCTATACAAATAACTCGTGAAAAAGTGTTGTAAACCTTAACTGTTGTCTTTTTTTATTATGTCTTTTCACCGTGGTTTGAAATAAATAATAATTTGACAAAAAAAATGTAAACTCAAACTTATTGTTTTTTTTATATCTTGATTTTATACAGCTTTCTATTACTCATACTCAAAGGTTTGTGTCATGTAAATCAGGCGAAAACACGTTACTTGTGTGAAAGTGGCCACGGAATATTTACAGCAAAGTCGCTCTGAATAACTTCAAATTGAGAAACTCAAACTAGAACAAAACCTCATGATAGAATATGTGCAGTACATGCATCTGATCTTTTCACAGAACACAATTTGACAATTAAGAAAGAGGTTGAACATTTGTTTTGTCATTAGCGAAACTAGTCAAAATGTCTTCTGTGAAAAAGGTCTTTCAAAACATTTGATAGCTATTCTTTTTTTGAAAGCGGCCTGGTCGTGAGCTTCACTAGTTACCCAATAAGAACAGTTGACTTGGCAACAACAAATGACACAAAAGCAAAATAGGAAATATTGTATTTATTCAGCAATAACTGTGTGACGTTAAACTAAACGGTACAGACGTGATAAATCCGAGACAAAGGCAGAAATAACGACTTAGTGAACAAAGAGCGTTTAAGTACCGTTGATTCACATGAGCGCCATAAACTAAATGTATTTATCTCCAACAATAAACCTGTAGATGTTGGAAAATGAAATGAATTCTGATAAACAGCGACCGTTTGAGTTAAAAAAGAAAAAAAACATTGTTTTAAATCAAGACTTTATAAAGACGAAGTGTATAGATCAAAAACACAAAAACACATTTAAACAAAGATGGAAAGGAGTGAATGTAGGTTTCAACATTCATCTTAATCAAATAGCTTTTTCTTCACTGAGACTTCTTCACAATTTGATGCAAGGGAAAAACCAATACTAGTTATTACATTTGATTGGCTTTTTTTTAAGGTAAGGTTTAAATGTAATTCATAACAGGATACATGTCCAGTTTCCGATCACCAGTTAGGACCTAAGAGAGGTGAATACAGAGAGAGAGAAAGAGCTGAGGTCAGTTAGAAACAATATGAGGGAGATTCAGACCGAATGGAAAGAGAGGAGGTGAGGAGGGGATGACCTCGGCAGCCAAACACTCCATAAAACAGTTACGTTTCTAAGGGTCGAGAGTTTGGTTTGAGGTTACATAAATAAAACAGGACTTCTGACAGATTTCTAATTAGTAGATTTAAATACAAATGTTAATAAAAATGGTACGACTTAAGCTAAGCAATAATTCAAATGTATACTCAATTTAATGCTGGCTGGAAAACATGCGCTTTAAAAGGGTTACGGTAAAATATTGATGTCTTATTATTTATTTTAAATAGTTTAATATCGACTGCTGACAACATAATATTGCCAAGATACAACCAAACAAAATGATATGTTGCCCAAATTGATGATGAGAAGCACACTGGATTGAAAACCATCAGTTTGAGTAATATATATTTTTATGTGCGATCTTGCAAACATGGGAAAACATCCTTAATAATATGTTTCTATTGTTTATGGATCTGAAAGGAAACCAAAGAGGTGAAACTTACTACAAAGCAGTAAGTCTGTTATTACAGGAATATGAATTATATCGGCATTAAGTGACCCCTAATTGAAGCTGTGATCGTTGTTCAGGTGTGTTCAGTACCTACGGGGGGGTTTCGGTTATTTGGTCGTCTCATTGGTCCGAGCCGGTTAGCGGGGCGAGTGTTTCTGCGCTGGGAGGCAAAGGGAGCGCCTCTCCGTGGTCCCTAAAGAAGGAAAGAAAGGTTTAAGATTCACTTTGAAATCTGACATGCAGTCTCCATTAATCGGATGGAGCACATTGTAGAAAGGTCAGAGGTCAAACTCTAGCTCTTTAACCCTCACCATGTTTCCTTCTCGCCTCCTGCTCTGCTCCTCCGGCCAGTTGGAGAAGCCTTCCTCCTCCATCGGAGACATTTTGTCTTCGTACTCTAAACTCGGCTCGCTGAGAGAAACATGAACACAATGTCCACAAGATGGAAGTTTGGAGATTTTCTTATTTTATATTTATACGATATTACTCTCTGAGAAGAAGAAAATCAGGTAAAGTAAAAGTACCTAATAAGATATTTGTGTAAATATTCTATGTTTTGACCCTAAACATAAATGATTTTAGGCTCAATAGAAAAGTAATGACAGCAGGAAGAAGGAGTGTAATGTCACCTGATGGGCCCGAGGGGGCGCTGTGACATATTGCTCCCCGATATCGTGACTTTGACTCCCTCCAGTCTCTCCTGCCTCCTCCGCTCAAGGTCGTG